GTGCTGTTCAGATTACATCCTCCAGCTGCTGGAAAGATTTTCTTACAAACAGTTGGCTACTCAAATACCTTGTGCCTCTGTAGAAGCTGCCTCTATCTCAGCATTCAAGTGCAGCCAGCCCTACCTCAGTCCTCGCTGTGTTTGATTCATACCATCCATGTCTCCTGGTGCTCCCAGCAATTGACAAATTGTGACTCCAGCGAGACTATCGGGTTAAACACTAAGGAAGAAAGAATGATGACAGTAATACTTGTCATTTGTGTGGCAATGTAGCAACACAAAAACCTCTCTCAAACATATGTTATCTTGGAGGAATCTTTCCAAGGGACAGGCTTTCTGAGAAATGTTTATGACTTTTGAATACACAATAGGAATGAACTTGACATGACCTACTCGGCCAAGCCCTGGGCTTCAGCCTGGTCTTTTGCCACCATAAATCAGTCTATTTGAAGTGTAGTGAGCCTGATATCTTCACCAGGATAACGAGGTTACAGTACATACCAGCTTGAGAAAACACAGGATGTAGAGTACTTTGTTCCCATGATTTAAAGATCCAGAAATAATTTTACTAATGTTAGAGGAAAATGGCTATTTTCTACCCATACAGAAAAGCCAACACAGGCCCTGGGATCATTAAAATATTTGGTACATGATTGAAATGACAGTATTGACATCTATATTATATATTCTCATACTCAGATCCCTCCTTTATCTTGGCATTGGAAAACACAAGGAAAAGCAGAGGATGTAAAGGCTTTCTAGTAAATATCCTAGACACAAGAGTTGTTTTTTTCCTCCTGACTTTCCAGATCATCATGCTGCAGGGTTTTGTCCTGTTTCATCTCAGCCTTCATACCATCCTCTCAGCTTGATCTCGTACCAACATAATGTCAAATTGTCAAATTACACTAACTTTTGATTTTGTTCTTATTTAATTAAATATTATGGACCTGGAGAAATTGGATAAAAAGTGGTCTATGTGTGCAAGGACTGAGACATCTGCCGTGGGATACCTGACTCTTAAGGTCCTCTCCTCAGCATGGCACTGGATAGCACTAATTATGTTACAGACAAAGCTGTAGTCACTGAATTAACTGAAAACCAACCAAAGCATGCACAGTATAATGCAGTCCACAGGGGCACTCACTGCTGGGAAGAGCCTAAACAGTCAGGAAGGAGATATTACCTGGGGCCTCTCACAGGAGCACTTTGCTTTCTTCCTGGGATATATAAGGAACCATTGACCTGGCTGCTCTCATAGCCCAACTGCAGCAAAGCCACCAGTGCACACCAGTCCAGGAAGGTGGCTACAGGTGCAGGCACGGATGGTGGCACATACAGCCCGTGTCATGCTCTAGGTCACTCTAGATCATCAGAATGACCTTCTGCTCTGCAATAGGCCCCTTTCATTACAATTGTCCTGCTAGTCATAATTAAGGAAATTCTATTACATAGTTCAGATACAATTACAGTCGCAGTACAAACCAATTCAGAATTAATATAAATGTAATGGTCAGATTTCTTCTATGTGATTGACTAATTACTGTAATACAACTCCAGTAGGGCAAAGATCAGGAATATTTCATATCATCATCATTCAGAAACAAGTATTTTAAAACTGTATTACTCATTCATACAACACACATCACAGAAACAGATCCACTACAGAAAATCCATATAGAGGAATTGAGCTGAGAATCATTAAAAACATATTTTTAAAATGAACAACCACCACATTATTACGTATAATCATTTTCCTTTCACACTAATTTGTTTTAATCTATTCATGTTCCTTATAAAACATTACACAAAATTTTAATCACAGCATTGCTTTCTTTAAATATGTGCATTTCAGTAATGACACTTGCATGTATAAATTTAGTGAGTTAAAATGTTAGACTGATGCTAGAACTGAGTAGTCATTTATTCAGAAAAAAAAATTGCCTTGTTTTCCTGTCTGTGAATTTTCTATGGAAAGCTATTATTTTTTCAGTGTATTCATTATTCAATATATTAGTTGAATAGTCCTACAGAGAATTCTCTGCTTTTGAATCATTCACAGCCTGTTAGTTCCAGTTATTTCACATTTGAAATTTGAACTCCAGTTCTTCCTTTTTATAGGACATAGAGTTTACATGAACTGATGCTGTTCTCCAGTTGAAAAAATGTGACCAGAATGAAGATGAAATAAGTTTTGTACACAGCATCAGCACTTCACATCTGTGATTCAACAGCAGTAGATTCCTTAGCTATAATACAATATCCATATGAGCACAAGCTGAAAGTCATCTTAGGATTTCTGAAGAAGCACACCCATCTTATAAAGAACATTATTCGACAGCTTTCAATATCCATGTAGCACACAGGACCTCCTCTTTCCTAGCCTATGTAGTTTTGTTCCCTTCTAGAAAGACAACTTTAACAAAAACAAAAACAAAAACAACAAAAACAAACCAATAAAAACCACACACACCAAAACAAACCAACAAACCAACCAAACAAACAAAAAAAACCCACAAAAAACCCAAAACCAACCAAACAAAAAAAAGGAGCACTTTTCCTAAGGCGCACTTATACATCAAAGTTATCTACCCAGCCTTTTAACAGCTGGAGTTATGGACCTAGAAAGCCCAGCTCCCAGAAGGGCTGTGCTAGTGAGTTGCTGGGTGTCCTTCCCTGTCTTAGCAGCAACCTGAATGTCACAACATCACCAGGACTTCCAGGGAGTACCCTGCAATTCTCCACTCCCATGAGGCTTAGGAAAGCAAGGCTGACAGCAGCCTTCAGTCCTCTAAGGTTAGGTAATAGGAAAATCAAAGTATTTATACAGCGGAGAGGACAAGGGGAAGGGATAACAGGCAGCACCCAAAAGAGTTTAAGGCAGTTTAAAGTAACTTCACAGGGAGTGAGTAGTGCCCTAGAGTGGTCATTAGATACACTGCAAGGAATGAGGTACATCAAAAAAGGGCAACATTTGCTGCAGATATTATGAGGTGGGAAGGATTGGAGGAGGCTGTTATTCTTGAAAGTACTTATTGAACTGGCAGATCGCCCTGTGGTTAGGGCACAGGAAATGCAAGTCCCATTTCTGCTGCAGACCTCCTGTGTGGGATCAGAGAAGTCACACTGGTGTCCAAGATCACCAGCAGGAGCCAGGCAGACTTGGCACAGGGGGCACTAGGGTGACCAGTGTCAAAGAAGCTATCAAAATCAGTGGGAAATGCCTGTTCCAGTACAGGAATTCCTCCATGCCTCCTCTTGCATAAAGCCATCCAAAATGGGCAAAAACATCTGCTTTTGTTTTCACAGTAAAAGCTGACACTGGAGGAGATATGCACATTTGGGAGGGGAGCACATTCCACAGTGGAGCTCTTTGTAATGCTCTTGGAACAATACAAGATCATCCTGGGAATATCACTTGGTGAAAACTTGCTGTATTCAAGAGGGCAAAGCTGCCACGAAGGTAGCAGAAGGTGGTGTACTGAAATAACAGAGGGCCCCTCTTGGCAACTGGGTGGCAAGGCAGATCACCCCACGTGCACGGCAGGAGAGTGGCTTCTAGGGTCCTTTCTGTGGCCTAACACTGACACTTCCCTCCTCCATATCCTATCGATATATAAGGGAATTAGTTACTCCATTTTCCATTCAGCAAAGTGATGGATGAATATGAAGGTGCAATGAGATCCCAAAGCATGCTAGTCTTCAGACCCTCTTGCTCCATCTTTGTGCATGCAAAGACAAATATTTAAGAAAAAAATATACACCAAAATCTGAACTTAGGGCTAGAGAAAACAGGATGATGAGAAACTAGGGAAATCTTTTCACTAGAGCAAGTGTTTGGAAAGAAATTGTCAATGTCCATACTTGTCAATGATAGAGATTTTCAGAAAAAGATGCAAGATTTCAGGTTTGCTGTCCTGGACTGTTCTACCCCAAACCGCCCCTCAATTTATGCAAAAGACATGCAGCAGGCAGTGCCAGAGCAAGACTTCGACCCACTGACTGCAACTTCACCCATGTCCTAGATAGATGCTTCTGTTTTAAAGCTCATGAATTGACAGACCTCGTGGTATCTCTGTAATGCAGATACTTGACTAATTTTTAGAACATAGAAAAAATATATTTCTAAAATTTTCTTAGAACAGAATCCTGGGAAAAATAGAATTTCTATTCCCCTTTTTTAAAGTCCTCCCAACAGTTCAAATCTATAGCTAGCACTAGGAACCACTATTTCAAAGAAACATACCACATGGGAACAGAGTAATTCCAGAGATAAAGGGATGCCTAAAAAAGTGTTTCTCCTTGTAACTGAAGTACTTACTTCGAGATTAGAAAGGGGATAGCTCTTGGAGGGAGCAGAGAGGAGAGGAATGCAAATGAAACAACTTATTTAAAAAATAGGTTAATGCTCATATGAATGACAGCTGGAATCACTTTAACTCATGCAGATTTTTCTAAACATTTGTCATAAGGACAAGTATGGCTGGTAACAACCAGTGGAAAGAACCAAAATATTCCTTACAGAGCCATGGAAGCTGACAATTACTAGCTAATCAGTGAATAAGATTTTTCATGACCGATTCTGTTCAGTTCAGCTCAGTTTGCCGAGCAACTTATAAAAGACAAATCAGATTAAGTATATATAAGGAAGTCCTAGTTATCTGATTAAAGGAAAACCTCAGCATAACAAATTAGTACCTTGTTGTCTACCCATTGAGTAGACACCTTTACACAATACATATTCCATAGCATTACCGCTTTCCATTTGAAAGGGGAACTCTCCTGCAGGCACATCGAGGGCTGGGCTTTTTCACTGTGTCAGTAGTAGTGTCTAGAATTCCAGAGAGTAGCAGGAACTTCCCCACTTCCTATTAAAAGAAAAATCTTTAAAAATTATAATAATGAAGTTTTAATCATCTGTTTGACAAGGTGAGAGAAAGAGAGGGAGTCCTCAGAAATGTCTCTGGCTGCTGGTGAATGTCTGCTCTCCCTCTTTCAGGATGGCCTGGGACTCCTTGTGCAGCGGGGACTTACGGCGCCCCAAGATAAGAAGCACCTCAAGGTGGACGCCTGGCAGTCAGAGCAGTGCTGGGACACCGTCCCTGGAGGAGCTGCGGCGCCTGCTCTGCACACGCTCATCCCCCACGGGGCACGTGGATGAAGTCTGGCCAAACCTCTATGTGGGAGACCTGTAAGAGAGGGAAGGGTTGAAGGTGTTAATGCAGCTCTTAGCCCCTACCCTATTTCCCCCCACATCTTCTGCTCCTTATTTAAAAGCAGGAGAGCTAGGCACTAATCTGGGGACCCCTCACAACAAGTCTAAGTGTTGAACAAGGTTGAACTTGCATAGGATGCTGCAGCATAGAGAAAAGGCATCCTAACTAAAGTAAGTAACTGAAAAGAATACACACACACACACACATCCCGCTCCTGGTTTCTCCTCCTGCTTTAGTACAGGAGTCCCACACTGCAAAAGTTTGCTGGAGCCATGGCATCAGTACTTCAGGCAGTCATGCCAGAGCTGGGTAAAACAGGACCAACCTCATTTTCTCCTCACACTGCCAGATGGCATCAGTCCCCTGAATTGATGGATGCTCAGCAGAGGTGACTTGGTGAGAAAGCAAACCAGAAAGATCTTGGCTTGTGCTGAAATATCTCCACCACCACCTTTCATCACTTGAGAAGAACCACCTAAACAGGTGCTTGGGAAACAACTGTGGAAAATCTAAAAGACAGTTTCTTAACTGCTGTCTCAAAGCATTTTGATGGACGCTTTGGACCTGATTAATCTGTCTGAAAATAGGCACCACAACTTCGTGCAGTTTTAACAAACTCAGCATCAGCAGCATATTCTACCCCACACTGCAATGCAGCAATCAAGTATAACTCACCATCTTTCTTCCAGGTATGTTGCTCGTGACAAAGCCCAGCTGAGCCGAATGGGCATCTCCCACGTGGTGAACGCCGCTGCCGGGCGATTCCGTATCAACACTGGACCCACCTTCTATAATGACTTGCCTGTGCACTACTACGGAGTAGAAGCAGAGGACAACCCAAACTTTGATCTCAGCATTCACTTCTACCCAGTTGCTCAGTACATCAGAGAAGCACTGAATTCCCCAAGAGGTAACTAGACCATCTGCGCATGTTGCATATCTTCTGCATGGCAGACAAGCAGGACAAGTTATCAGATATTTGACATAAACCAACCACCTACATATGTGAGTAAGAATAGAGATACCCAAACCCAGTAGAATCCCACCTGCCTCTTGAATTCCCCTGTGGGAGTTTCCCTGTTTCAGGGTGCACTGAACAGGTTTTCAAAGGGGTTCTCCCTGTGCCTAGTGTTACTAATCAACAAAAGACAAAATAACAAGTATCCTTTATTACCTATAGGGACACACTGATCTGGGAGGAGGCACGTTATTTGATCTTTTAGAATTAGTGGTGGGATTTAAAATAAAAGACGAGGGCAAATATCATATTTGAGTAAGAAGATTCAACTATAATGCTACGATCTGTGCAAATCCTACAAACACAGAATAGGGAAGTACTTGCTAGAAAGCAATTCTGTACAAGAGAACTTAAGCAAGACCACCAGCCAGGTATAATGTCATGCTGTTGCTAGAAGAAATATAACCTTGAAATAGGAAGATAACACAAAAAATCCCAAATCCCTGGATTTGCTAAACACAGACCAGGTATAATGCCAGAGTCCTGAGTCTAATGGGGGATCACTACTATTAAGGACAAACCTTCACAAAAGAAAGTCTCCACTGTGCCACGAAACTGTACAGATACTACTCAAAAATAAGTGATTAAGAGGACAGTTATACACTCAGCCAACTTTGCTTGCATCATGGTGAGCCTTAATATCAATCAGGGTCCTAAAGTACTACCTACCCAACTTACTCATATGTAGCTAGTAGATCTAATCCACTCCATACAGGCTAGGAAGAGGAGACACAGTGACTCCAAACAAGGTACCTCCATGCTGGATACCTCTGCAGTTACTCTTCTTTGGAGGGCTTGATCTACTCCATTAAAAAATATTTGCCTTTGAGCAATTGAGGGCTGTGTTTGGATTTCAAACCCACAAACATATTTGGGGAACTTGGATCTGCACCCATTTCTATTACAGCATACGCTATTTGCAATTGAAGCCATTATTGGCAATGCTCCAGAGAAAGGTAAGATCCAAAATCTGTTGATCTGTGTGTAAGAGCAAACTTGTAAATCAGTTGACAAAAGACAGAAAACAACAGATGAGTTGTGGTAGCCAAAAAAGCAAATGAAACTAGTGCTTTGCAAAATGCATGCCCGAATAATAAAATTATGAATGCAGAACAAGTTACGGCTCAAGGCATATTTATCCCTACTCCCATGCTTTTAATATTGCTTTACTGAACTCCATATGGAAGCAGGGTTCTGGGAATGGAGACAAGGTGAAATTTAATCATATACTGTCCAGCTGTTCCTGACATTCATAATTTTAAGTAAAGTGCAACAGTTTAGAAAATATATAAACAAGATGTTCTGGAAGCATAATTTCCCAAGGTACAGAAATTTAGCAGCTAAATACCCATGACCCGTTCACGGATGAGACAGGGAGGGGATTGTTACTCACATCATTCAGAAGAAGAAAAAAAAAGAAGCATTTATTATAAGCATTGATGTTGAAAAAAAATATACCAGGTGACAGGAGGCCTGTTCATATTAAATTCAGGATGTAACAAGGTACTACTGCTTGTCTGAGAAGTCATTTAAGACTGCTGCTTAACTACGACAAGCAAACTCAACTTCTTTTTTCTTTAATGAAAATATATTATCTTTTGTTACCTGGGAGGTCAAAGTTAAGACTGTATGAGGCACAAACATATTTAAAACTATGAATCAAATACTCCTTAGAATTAAGAACTGTTACTCCCATCATGCTTGAAAAAAATTCTGATGCTTTACATAAGAAGTCCAGAAAACAGCATGGACAGATTTATTCCATATTTCTACCTTAGCTGAACAGAACATGTCTTTGATGATGTAAGGAATTTATTTTTAAGGCAATGTCTTCAAAACCTGATGCCAGAGGGTGCACAAAAGGAAGCATGGAAGTGTGCACTCACATGCTCCTAATTGGGAGCTATTCCTGTCACAGTGGTCAATGGTTGCATCACACCCTGACCAACTTCCTTTGTCATCTCTGTTGTACAGATTAGGAAATACATGCACTACTATTGCAGCCATGCCATATAAGCATTATTTTATGATCCTTGCTTCCTTGGCTGCCTTTCCTTCAGCACAGCCTGGCTGTTTCTTTGCCCATGCAACAGAGCTGTTTGGGGAGGCTCAGACAAGGGTGAGCAGATGCATAATCTGTCCCCTTCCCTACAAGGAAAAACATGGAGTCAAGAAAGTATTGGCCTTCTTCCTCATGCTCAAGCTCAAAGGGCAACAACTTGAATATCAATATTGACCCTTTGCATGGCCACCTGTACAATTTGCGTTTTTCTGGAGTGCAGCTAAACCTAAAGTAAATCAGCAGGGTTTGGTAAAGTCTAGCAGAAGAGGGACAGAAAGCGAACTTGATGAAAGCATGTCACAAAAATCATTAAACTAACACTGTTCTCAGAGAAAGATTCCCAGGTAAAGAGTTTCACCTTTTATTGACCTCTGAACATGTGTAAAACAGGCAGGTTAAAACTACCCATTAACTTCCTGAAATGGCAAACTCTCTCAAAAGCCCTTCTTCCACTTCAGTAGACCAAAAGAAAAGCTAGGCTCCCTTCTCCTGCCGCTTTCTTGTTGGTGGGAGTTGTGAAAGCAGAAGAGAAACCCTTTGGAGAAAAGGGTCCTCTCTCTGCCGCAAGGTCAGTCTGACCTCCCACTCTCCAATAGGTGACAGCTCTTACCTATTCTGGAGACAGGGAAGAAGGGACATGCCACCATTTAAAGCTCTCTGTAGGCTTCTTGGTATTTTCAGCTGTGACAAAACAGATATTTGGATTAATCAAGAAAAAGACAGTGGATTCTGCGCCTGGCTAAAACCTAACAGGAGATGAGAAAACCATGGTGGAGTGGGAAGAGCCCCTGGGGCCCATTAGCCCAGCTGAGCTCTTCTCCTGGTGAGCAGAATGCTTCTGCTGGATCCAATGGAGCAAGGGCAGCTGGGGAGTTCACTACGAGTGACAGATCTAGAGTCTGGTCTAAAGCCAAATTGAATCCATCCTGCAAGAAAGCAAGGGCTAGTTCAGGACATTTAGCTCTGTTAATGATGATTAGCAAAAGGACAATAAGTTATTATGTGTTTTAATGACTGATTCTGTTCAACAGCATTCAATTTCCCAACTTGAATTTGGCCAACAATGTTGAATGTGCAAACTTTATCCCTAGTGCAAACCCTTTGATGTTAGTAGAGTTATAGCAGGCATGAGCTGGATAGAATATCCATAATCCACTGTTAAAAACCAAGTGTTATTGTTCTGCACAAATCCCAGCCAGATGACAGTTATTGTCTGCCTCCGCAAAAAGTAGCTTGAGATGTGTGGTGCAAAATTTCAAATAAGGATTGCAAGATCTAATAATGCCAGAAGCTAAGTGCCCCCACTTCTCCTCAGTTAATCCCATTATTCCTAAGGGATCCTGTTTCATGCTCAGAGAGAAGGTTGCAACATGGTTGTAATGTGGGACCAGTCCAACTTCTCCTTGCACTGTATGTTCAATCAAATGGGGGTGGGGAAGGCAGAACTGGAGGATGCCAGCATGGACTCCACGCTGCAGACGATCTGCAGCCTGGCCTTCTTATAGCCACACAACAGGGGAATGCACCACAACTGCCTCTGTGAACGTTGCTTTCCCAGGCTGTGGTCCAGGAGCCACCCAGCAATCCGAGCCTTGGTGCTGGGACAGGACATCTCGGCTGCCTCCCGTGAGAGGCTGAAGGAAATTGCCCACCACAGTTGGCCCATGAGGTACAGACGTGTTTCAGGCACTGGTCAAATGCAGTATATCATGGGGGGGTTCAGTGTCACAACCCATTTGCAGTTACTGCTAAGAGACGAGTCTGAACCTGTCAACAGAACCAAATAGCAACAAAGCTTGTGTTTCCTTACTCAAGTTCAACATTCAATTTGTTTGCTACAAATAATCACACAGTAAATTCAAATCTGCTTTCATTAGAGCAATTTTACGTTAATTAAATCATTTCACATGACTGATTTATCTGCAACAAACAAGTCATTTTATTGTCAGTGTATCAGCATTTATCATAACCTCTGCATGGTGAAACAAAGGCTAACAACGTGGAACAGATATTGCACATGTGAAAGAGATAATACACCTGCATCCTCATGGGAACAAGTGTATTAGAGAGCTATGCAGATTAAGTCCAAGGTCAATACTTGAGGCTTGTCCAGGTTTTCACTGAGACATCTTCTAAAGCTATTTACTGATATAGGAGGATGCTTCTGAAGTGCAGATAAGACAGAGAAGCAGGGAAGAAAATTCAGTGTGTTCTTACTGGACACTGCCTCCTCTCAAGTTAGACACAAAACAGCAGAGAGTCAGCCTGTACAAGCAGAAGCCTGGAATTTGTTCTGCTTTCTGTGCCTCCAAAAAACCCACAACAGGCAATATTTAATGGCAGCAGCTATACTTCTGCTCAACTTGGTCTTCAGTTCGAGGCTGCAGACAAAAATTAAGTTCAGAACATCAAGTCTCCTGTCCCCCATCCAGTTTATGGCCAAATTTAGACTGAATTTCAAAACATACAGTGATGTAAAATTAAATCTAACATAAGGCCATCTCTTTCTGGTTTTTTCTTGTTTGTTTTTCCCTCTCCTGATGCAGTTCAAACCATACATTCTTTTTTTTTAGTTGGAGAGTTCTGGTAGACAGAAGTTTTCAGGGAAAAAAAAAAAAAAGAGAAGTGGTTCTGATTCCAAGAAAAATTTTCAGAACACGTTGTTCCTTGGCTTCTGTTATCTGGGGTGCACATTATGGTGAATATCTGGATTTCCCCAGTCCCTGCCACTACATTGTAGTTATGCCTACTGAAAACTACTGAAGCACAGATTTTCCAAAGATCTTTTGGACTAGCCCTATTGGCAGTATTTGTCAAACAGAAATTGTGCTCCTGACTCCTTTACACTCCTCTGAAAATCCCAGACTAGGATTATTTGGGTCCAAAGTGCCTCCTCTGGGGAAGATACTACAGCATATACATACCCTACAAGGTTAGTGAGAAGGCTAATGATAGTGCAGCACAGTGAAAAAGAAGTCTGGTGGAAATTCAAATTAGTATTATCTTTTAGCAGGGGTGCAAAACATTTCTCCATATTCCCATAAAAAGTAGAACTTCACTTCCAAGAATTCCCATGGAGTTAATGGAATTGACAGACAGATTAATTTAACTTGAATAATGGTATTGATATCCTAGTAAATTCTATGAAGCTGTAAAGCTGTACCTGAATAAGAACAAAAAACAGAAATTCTGCAAAACTGGCATTACACTGGAAAACCCTCTTCCTTCCCCCAAAGGTTTTGATGCCCAGTCCAACTCTGCTGTCACCAGAGCTGTTTTCACCACTTTCTTGGAGACTATATTTGTCCCTTTATTTCTACTGAAGACATGTCTATCTTTAGGTCTCTGCTCAGATTTCTCATGCCAGGATAACGAGAGGTGGCTGTGTCACACACACTGTGGAATCCAACACTTCTCCCAACCTGCTGGCCAGAGCAGGTTTTTACAACACATGCTTGCACTCTCCGAGCATGTGGCTGTGCCATCATCATTAGTCAGAACTAAAACGGTTGCTAAATAAATACTCTGTCATAAACAAAATGGGATTTAAGATTAAAAGCTGTGCACAAAGTACTCAGTATTAACACCCGGGGAGATGGGGGCAATCAGTCTGATGTTTTTGTCTGGATCTAGACTCATCATCCAACAAGGATATTTTTGTCTCACTTCCTAGAGTGAGAATTTAAGATGCTGTAAGCACAAACAAAACAAGGAACAGGCCCTGAAAAGCTGTCTGTTCTTTCTACCCCTCCTTACATTTTGCACAGAAGTAGCATCTGAGATAGTTTATTCCATCTCGGAAGCAAAGAAGTAGCATGGGATTTTTGTCACTGATTTTTCGTCTTTTTCTGGATATAAACTGTATTGTCACTAAATGGCATTGTGTACAGCTATACAATTAGTGAATGAGAGACCACAAATGTGACAGCCAATAAAAATTAAAATTTAAAAAAGGTAGAAAATATTTTGTTTCAAACTTGTTAAGATTCACAGTGAAGAAGTGTTCTGAAATTTTCATGCCAAAAAGACCACGTTTTCTTCAGCTGCCTTAATGGGAGACAGAGTTGTCCATTAGGTGGTCAGAAGTTCAAATCTGATTCTAGTTACTTGTTACTTTAATAATGGCTAATTGCTGAGCCATGGTCTCTGTGAAAAAAAACTGGATCTCATTGCAGCAAAGGACGAGAGAGTTTGAAAATGTTCAGGCATGGCTATAATTGAGTAGAACAAAAAAAAATTTTCCCCCAAAATTTCCCACTAATTATACCATTTTTGTGAAAGTTGAAGAATTTTACAATATTTACAAGATGCAAACTTTCAGGTTCCAGAATGAGCTCTTTGTTCACATCCAGGGGGAAAGGACTAAAAACCTGAATTCTTCCATCTGAGAGCAATCCTTTTGAAAAAAGTTTCCATTAAGTTCAAGTAAGACCATTTAAAAAAGTGTTCATCTCCTTTCAGCATGGGTCAAAGTCATATATTAGAAAGCTGAGAAACAGTCACAATAAAGAATTGTGTTTCTCAGGCTGCTTCCTTTTGTGATCACAGCAGGAAAACCAAAAGCAGAGCAGAGGGATGGAGGGAGCTATACTTCTGGATCCCTGGAAGGTGCTTTCTGAGGCTGGCTTACAGCAAGAGGGGAAGGATTCCCAAAATTACTCTTAATGAACTCCTAATGAAGATGCACACCTCACATGGAAATCTCTGGAAAACTAAAAACATTTCATAAATTGTCTTTCTATTGATCACTTAACAAAGAGGGGAAGATAAAGGCATTAGGGAAGGATAATGACTGGTACAGGGTAGGCTACAGAAATAAAAAAATATAAGTGAGCTGGTGCAAACGGCCCATACAAACAGGAGCTGCTCTTAACAGTAATGCCCATTTTCCTCACACACTTCCAACAAAGTCTGGGCAGCAGTCAGAACCCTCAGAAAGCATTACTACCCTAAGTAAAATTAAAAAAAAGAGCTCGTAGAAAACCAGGACTGTTCTTCTAACAGCAGTGAGCCCTCCTGAGCATTGCACTTTGGAAATCCCAAGTTTCCAGGCCCTGTGGTAGTACATAACCTGCCAAGGCTGCTTCCCACAGCATGGCCTTCAAGCATGAACACTTGAAGCTTTGCCAGCGAGTACATCACTCCCAAAACCACACATGAGCAAGCAGGGACAGAGTGGATGGCAGGCTGTATAGGAGGGATAAGGGTATGCTGTCAGGCTGACAGTTAAACTCAAGCAAGCAACCACAGATCCTGGAACACAATAACGAATTTTCTGTCCCCAGCCACCAAAAGCCCCATGTTCCCCCACCAGCACTGCATGAGGGCTGCTCTGCAGGGCTGTGCATACCTGCCTGCCCATCCCCAGGATCAGCTCCCATCTCTGCTCCAACACAATAACCCCCACCATTTGGCCTGCTGGCGTAATTGCATCTCTCTCTCCTTTTTCCAGGCAAAGTACTGGTTCACTGTGCGATGGGAGTCAGTCGATCTGCAACTCTTGTCCTCGCTTTCCTAATGATCTGTGAAGACATGTCCCTCGCCGACGCAATTCGGACTGTGCGCTCACACAGAGGGATCTGCCCCAACTCCGGCTTCCTCAAGCAGCTTCAGGAGTTGGACCTCCAGTTAGGAAGGGGGACAGGCAGAGGAGCAGAGGCCTGCTAGCACCAAGAAGGCATGTCTCCTGACACCAGACCAAGAGATGCTGCCCTCACTGAAGACTGCAAGGATGCTGTCAGGACTGCTCTGCAGACACACTGAGAAACTTTGGGAAAAGGCTGAGCATGAGCAAACTGTTAGGAGCTGTTAGGCATGTGTTTTTTGGATAAGCCCACTAATTGGAAAGAAAATGAAATAAAGAAGGATTCAAACTGGCAGTTTTGCTCACCTGGGCCTGTTTATTTAACTACCTGTTGGGCAGGGCATAGGGAGCAGTTGGGTTTTCATGCAGAATGAAAAGGCAGCACAGTCAACTTGAAAAAATACTTTTTACTTGCTTATAATTACATTTATATGGCAAGAGGGAAAATGGCTAAACTAGTAAATAGAAAAAGAAAGTGTGAGGCTTTTAAGCAAATCTTTTAACATTTCACATCCAGCTGGCTTAGGGTGAGACTTCAGACTTTGCAAGCTGACACGCTCCTTTGGTCTGACACGGTGACACTAGTCAGGATCCAACTCAGACCTAGGGCTCCCGCGTTACAAGCCACAGAGGCTGTTGCTGGACCTTCACAAGTCCTTTTAGCTTCAAATCCATGGCAAATGCTCAGAACACAAAATCCTCAGGAGCCAGTACTGGAGGTCCCAACCAGAGGCTGCACCCTGGGGCACAGCTGCTGACAGCCTTTCTGCTGGTCAGAGGGGAGGAAGGTATCCCCTTGCACACACAGAGCAAGAGGCAAGCTCAGGGCACACTGCCCACTGGCACACTGCAGGGCAGCAGCAGTTCCAGACAGAAATGTCCTCCTCTTAGCTTGCAACCCGACGCCCTAAATCACATTCCCCAAATTTCCCTGTTTTAATGGGAAGTCAGAACCTAGTGTCGTCATGTCAGAGCAAAAATGAGCAGTGCTTCTAACAAATCCAAAGCAGCAGCTCTGCATTTCAATTACTCTTTTACGCCCAATTGGCCACATTTAATCTTGTGAAGAACTTGAAGCAGATATTTGCTTCAGTGCAATTACAGCCACATACAGAACATTGGCAAATGCAAACAATATAGAATTTCCACTTGACGGCAGATTAATTTGGTGTGATGTTTTCCCTCGAGAAGTCTTAAAGGCTTGCAGTTCTGAAAGTACCCTGCAGTTTGTATTTATAGCACTATGGATGTTGAATAGAAAGAGGGAAGCATATACTTCTTCTGAACTGAAGTTTCTTTTGCCTCCATACATTAAAAATATTAACTGAGCATAGCACACTTCCACTGCATTTCTCATAATGCAATATGGAAACATGATTTCCCTGCAGAATCTATAGAGAAATTCAGGTGGTATTTCCACTTTCATAAACATATTAAGTAAAGCATAGCAATGCTACAGACTAATTTCCTCTCAGGGAACAGAGGCACAGGTCTTCCCCCCAGAAAGGGTCCCATCCTTTGAGACTGGAGTAAGCAGTCAGAAGGGAGGTCATAGCTAATGATGGAAAAAATCAGTGAGGTTATAGTTTTCACAGGCTTCTTATTGCCTGCCACAGCAAGGAGATTACATTTCAGTGAGCATGGTGACTGAATCACTCCTGGCATTTGGGTCTCTTCCACCTTGGTCTGTCTAGGGATTCTTTTTTATTGCAGACCATGCTGAAGCTGTTTTGTGATCAGTCTTTTCAGTTGCCTTACTAACCACTCCCTCCCTTCAAGCCTCTGTAACTCAGCCCATGCCAAGCCAAATGGCACTATGTTAACACACAAGGGGTGTATGAAACACAAAAGTCCAAAATCTCTGTGCATTGATCCCAGTAGGACAGGTTATAATTTCCAGCAAAGTGCACATCTGGAAACATCTGTGGTTTCAGGGCAGAATTTAAAGTGAACAACATGTTCGTGACTGAGCCTAAAGTGACCCCAGCTGAGGCCCATTGCCCATTGTGGGACTATTTCAGCTGGCCAGGGCAGGCCATAGATTCCTCTGCCATGCATGACTTGCAGCTGGGATCAATAAATCTGTCTGGAGCTGCAGCCTGCCAGGTAAGATAGGGCACTGGCAGAGCAGGGCTTCTGGCTGGTTGTCACCATTACAGGTTTATAGTAAAAGCTTCCTCTTCAACCTGGAAAAAAAACCCAACTAAACAATAAAAAACAAGTGGTCAAAACCACTGACTCAAAGACAATAAAGTAACTATCCAATCCCAGGACAAAAAAATTCCCTTTCTAGAAATGTCTGAGCTAATTCAAGTGTTTTGCATTGCATGAAGTTCAGACAGTGGGAAGCAGGTACCCCCATCTCCTTCCAGTTTCTCCATCCCACAGGAGATGAGGTACCTGAGCCCACCACCACCTCCCCTCTGTGTGAGGGCTGCAGCATCATGGATATGGCCTGTAAGGGGCACGGGGGCAGGGGCTGTAGCTGATAACAATTAAGCAGTCCTAATCTCTGATCCACATGTCCTGCACACTGTGGCTTACTGTCCCTGTGCTTAGTTAAACACAAGTCTCTTAAAATTACAGCTGGAATCAAAGTAGAATGAAAACAGTATTGGGGGTGGTTCCAAGTATATCTCGTGCTACAAAATCCAGAATTGCAAACTTCCAGCTCAGCCCAAGAAAAAAGCCACCCTTGCTAAAAATGAGGTGTTTGGTCCTGGCGTGCAGCTGTGCATGTTGATGCTGCTGAGCCAGCTGATAGAAGCCCCACTCATCCCTACAGGTTTGGTGCCTCTGTGGCACGTGCCCAGTGCCCTTCTAAACATTACCTGCCAAAGCCATGTCAGTTGAGATGACAGGCAGGGTGGAAGCAATCAGAATAGCAGATACATTAACAGACACAGTGGCAGTGATGCTGTCATCATTTTCATGCCTACCTTTTACCCAGTGCAGAGCAAATGCTGAGCTTTACTTAGAAACACCTGTCCATTCTGTGCTTATGAAGGAACAACCTTGAGCACTGTGGTGGTGCTGGTATACATCCCACACAATAACCCTGTGAGGGAGGATGGGTGCCTTAGCCCCTTTTTACAGACAAGGCACATGGAGTTTGCCTGAGCTGCAGCAGGATGTTTATGGAAAAGCACACAGGATTGCTCTCCAACCTCCAGAACTGGCACGAAAAAAACATGAAAATAGTTTTCTCACACAAGATATCTTGCCTTCACCAGCTTTTCCTCTCAGACTTTCAGCAGTGATACAAAGATACTTTCAGCAGTGGACACGTCTGCATTGCATTATTTATCCTTTGGATTTGCACTTAGGGTTTTATTTGTAGAAGGAAAATGAGACCATAAATCTGCTCTGCAAGGAGCCAAGGGAAGAGAGGACAGAAATTTTCAACAAGTTGCATGCAAAGATATGATGCCAAGGACAGGTTTCCCATGGAAAGAAATGCCAGCCAAGATATTGCCCAGGTACTCACCACGTGTAGCGGCCACAGCTAAGAGTGTCAGCCTTGTAGGCTGACTTGTGTCAGTCTTGTAGGTGCATTAATTCATTCCTCCTTGCACAGGTAGCTTTTGGGTTGCTGCGGCAAGGATGGCCCTCCTATGGGACTTTCTTCACTCACAGCTTTTGCCTCTATTGGCAAACAAAAAAATAAAATGAACTGAAACCAGAATAGACCACAAAGCTGAAAAACGAAGTGTGACTAAGACTAACTTGTTCAGGTTGAGTACCAAGCCACTGGACAAGCCTAAATGGGCTACATTCCAGAGTTAATGTTTTTTTATGGCCTCCAGCATACATAGGATCACTCTTTGGATACAGCACTCCTAAAAAAACCCCCACACCTATAAACAAGGATAGAGGGAAGCAGACTCACAGGCAGAGCCTGGTTCTGCATTACACCAGCCTGTTCCAATTTAGCCCATGGCTCCGAGTTCTGCTTTAACTTTGGCACTACCCACCAAGACCAGGCGACATTCTTCTGTGTACCCCTGATGCCTAGGCCAGATCTGCCCAGCTCCTGCCAGCCCCTCCAGAACTGCAGAGCACTGTCAAGTCCACTTGCCAGACTTGATCCTCCTCCCTTTGTTTTTTGTCCTGTACTTTTCTGATAACGGTGCTGAACTATGTTACTGTGGAAAGGGACTTCAAAACAGCTTGCGCTTTGCAAATTTACTTCATAGTCTAAGGTTCAAACAGTATATGCAGCTCCTGAAGCCAAGTCAAACAGGAATCTAGGGCCTGTGGGACTTTCAACATTTAACTTTTCTTTAGGCTACAATTATTTTGCTTAGAAACTAGACCCTTGATCTGTTGCAGGAGGCTGCAGTTTAATAAAGTCAAACAATTTGCTCTTTGCAATGTACTATTTGCAGTACAAGTATCATTGAGTTACACTGCTCCCCCTCACTGCTGCCTCCTGGAACCTCATCTGTTTATATACAGAAAGCACTCCTAAAAATACCCAGTGATGTTAGCTGAGGATCTGGCTCTGTCTCTCCTCCTCCTGCTTTTGCCTCCGTAACATCCTTCCATCATCTTGATGCTCAACAACTCCAGCTGTTCAAGCAACCTTATTCCTGTCTCACTCTTTAAGAAACTGTCCTTTTCCTTCCTCCTCTGCCAGCAGCCATTCTCACTCTACCACAGAGTAGCTTCCATGACGTTGCCATGTCGTGTTCCATCTAGTGTTTTCTCACTTGATCACTAAATTACGGTGAAGCCTATGTTGTCTTTCTCAAATCTCTGAGTGCACCTACATGGCTCTGCCCACTTTTCAGACAATAAGAAGGTGCCAAGTCAGGGTAATAATTGTACCAGAAAGAGAATAATATCTTCTACTTTACTTTGTAAAGGGACATTTGAATACTGAAAACAAGATACAGTATTCTCCACAGATTAACTTTTGAAACCACTCTCAGAGAAGTTACTCTGTAGAGAAAGCATCTCTCAATGGAAATACCACTGCAAATAAAAATATTTTCACAGTAGTTCAAATAGAAAATCTGCACAGCAGAAGTCCAGCCAGCTGACAAAAACATCAGTTCTTAAACTTTAAATTCAAAAGCAAGTCTGGGATTCAGCTCACACTTCTGATCTGTCTGTTGCTCAAGATGCAGGCGG